ATTTGTTTTTAAATCCAGTTAAATTTTTACTGTAAAACCCTTTTAACAAACTTATCTACCTAAACCATTATCAAGACTTACTCAGACATTCTGTTTTTGTCCTATACTTCCTACTTTCTAAATAGCCAGTCATTTTACTCTAGGACAAAAATACACTGTACCAGATTCTTTCTTACATAAAAAAAATTTTTTTTCTCTAGCCTTTCCACCCATAACCATATCCCCACATCTATAGCCTTTTTAAAATTACCTCCTTTTTACATATTTGTTTCTTTATTATCAATGTTAAATTGGCTTAATTTGCCTACAAATTATACATAGAGAAAGGTTTTTCTGGTTTTCGCTGGGTTTTTAATTAAAAGCCTCTAACAAAGACAGATATAACCTTGTTTGACTATAGTTTTGATAATTTGATCTAGTAAACCCAGGCGAAGATGTACACTGATAAAAACATTTTTAAATATTCAGGCTAGTAAATGCGCGTCCATTTGTCAGAGCAGATTATACAAAGCCCAGTTTGAGTCTCAGCTATTTCTACCAAATAAGTGTTTATGGTTTTTCCAGCCCCAGAACTTGGTTTATTAAGTAGTTCTCTAACAAAGATTAAAGTTATGAGGCAGCAGTCTTGAGTTTCCATGAGTTATAGAAAATACCTTCTTTTTTTTTTTTTTTTTTTTTTTTTTTTTTTTTTTTNCCGACCCCGCGGGCGGGAGCGCCGCCGCGCTTCCCAAGTGGCGCACTATCCAGTGTGCCACCGGGCCGGCCCTAGAAAATACCTTCTATTATCTATTATTATAGGAAAATTTTAAGAAGGAAACCAAATTTTACTTTTTGTACCAGTGCACTGTTAATATTATAACTAATTTTAATAAAAACTTATAAGCAAGTCTAATCTCAGTGAATTTTGATCACATAAAGATTATCATAAACTTTTTATTAGTTCTTATAAACGCTTTATTTTTAATTTAGACAAAAAATTTTTTTTAACAAAAACCATATTACCTTTGTTTTTAATAACCTTTACCAAAATGTATCTTTATAAAAAATATTCTGTTAAAAAGTCTTTACACCTAGCAGTTTGAATTATGCATACTGACTATAATTGACTCATTAGCTCCAATTTTCCAGTAACAAACCTGTGAAGCAAGCAATTTTGGATTACTTTATATTAATATTTGTAGATAAAAAACTATTTCTAACTTCTGAAGAGACGTGTTTTTAATTTTAACAGATTCAAATATTTTGGTTTTTTGTATCACATAGAAACAAAACATTAAAATATAAACATAAACTTATATAATAATGTTTTAGTATTTTATTAATATAACATTTTAAGATTTCAAATTCCTGAGAAGCAATTTGAAATCATGATTTTATTTATAAGCATTTAACCCATTTATATTTGTCTAATTTTTACATCAAGCTATACCTTTATTAATTGATATAGGTTTTGTTTACAATGTTAGTGAGACAGATAAAATAGAAAACTTGCTAGTTCAAAACAGACAGTTGATTTTAAATTGCATTTCTGAAAAATGCCAAAGCTTATCTTTTTTAGAGAAAGCAAGGTAACAAATTTACATTGCAAAGCAAAGTACGTGAGACTCTTCAAGGGGATAAATTTACATTGGAAGGCAAGTATGCTAGCCTTTTCAAAGAAATGCAGAGAACGTTTTCTTCTCTAGCCAGATCAAATGGAGCAAATCTTCCCAAATATTTTGCTGTAATTTAGGTGGGCACTTGATTTGTTGCACTTTGGCATTGCCTTTTCCCAGTGATCTTAAGGCCAAAGGCAAAATTTGGATCTTGTGACCCCTAAGTAGTAGCTTGAAAAGCAGGCAGAAATAGTTGCCATATATACAGACAAAACACTCATGCATATGCACACACATACATCCCAAAGAGACGTCTCAACCAAATTAGTTGGTCTAAGTTGTAACTAGTCATACTCCACACCTATGGTACCAATCAATGGCATGGAATAGAAGGCATCTGTGTTGTGCATGCCAACAGGATTGGAGGGCTTATTCAGATTGCTGGTACTCAACTAAACGTCTAACCAAGCAAACAAAGAGAAAAGAAGAGCAGTGGGGCCATCCAGTTCAGCTTAGTCCCAATCAGTGGGGCCAATTTATTCCATTAACAGTAATTGATAAAAGCAGTTCTCCCCACTGTTTTCAGCATAAAGAAGAAAAGTACCAACCAGATTTAAGTCAGAAAAACAAAGCCTAGCCAGGAGGCCTCCAGGGTGCACTTAAACAGAAGTGGATACAATCCAACCAAACAGAAGAGGGCTCAGAAAATCAGAGAAAGATAAAGAGAATAAAGCATTTCCTTATCAGAATTTAGGCCAGGGACTCCAGGAGAGATCTACCAGCAGCAGAGACATGGGAGCAAAATAGTCCCAGTGGCCACTTGCCTCTTGCAGCTGGGGTCCTCTCTGATGCCCAAAGCTTTCCAATTTTTGCCAGTAATTAATTTAGGCTCTTAGATTCCAGTGTCATAGAAATGTATAACTAGCACAATAAAGGTCAGAGACACAGGATGGCAGTTACTTATCATGCCTCACTATTACATTACATATGACCACAGTTAAAGACATACAAAGCTACAAAACGTATATGCACACCCAGCAACACACAAAAGACAAAGTTGGTCACAACAAATTTCCAAACAATTCCAAACCAAAGGACCTGACGATGTCTCATGGGAGTCCTGGACTTGGGAAGTAGTGCTGCATCCAGCCTTCCACAAAGTCCCTAAATCAGAGCTCTGATACCCAAATGCAAAACAAGACTCACAACAACATAAACTCACGAGGTTAATATAAAGACAAACACAAAGACAATACACAAGTTTGGCCACCAAAGGAGGCCACCAAGTGGACCGCAGCGACGTCTTGCTGGGTCCAGGGAAGAGGCGTTGCGACTGCGTCCATCCAGTCTTGCCTGATTTCCCCACCAAAAGAGTCAACTCACCCAAATCTAGAGGCGCCAGGAAATCCTAAGCTGGCCAGCAGAAGATCGTGTGCCTCTAGGGCTGAGGAACGTCTTCTTAGGAACTCCCTCCCCCCTAGAGACTTTGTAGTGTGGGGAAAAATCCCAGCACTGTAGGTTGGTCCCCAAGGAGTGATAGTGATCCCGGACGAGCCCCCAAATGTTATAGGCGTCAGGAGAAAATCACCCTTGGAGACTGATATAGAAAAAGATTTTTATTTCCGGAGGCCAGGACTGCACCAGCTAATTCAAGGTACGGCCCCGAACCATCTTTGTTCTCGGTTTTTAAAGCTGCAAGCGCAGCAACTTGGTCGCCCGATCACGGTGCCAAGAGGTTATTAGCCAATTCAAGCAAGCCAACAATACATGAGCTAATTTTGCAGTTAGTGGAGCCCCTCCCATCCCACCCCCACTTTCCTGCCTAACTTTCACACAATGGAGGGGCTATCTTAAGTGCTGTTGGTCCTGTTCTTAGAAAGAGGGCATTACTTCAGAAGAGAAAAGTCATTTGAATTTTTAAGATAAAGAGTTATTTCTGACATATGACAATTATTTCAGGCCTTAGGGAAGCATGGTTCTCACATTGTCATGTTCATCAGAATCATATCAGAGACAGTTAATGCAGATACCTGGGTTCCATGCTCAGAAAATAGCATTTCTGGAGGCATTTTTTATAGATAATCTCATTTATATTTTACAAACTTATCTCTAAGAGAGAATTATTTTATAGACAAGGAGCCTGTGTGAGGTTACTTAGCTAATAAGTAAAAGAATGAGTATTTAAACTTGCTTGTCTTACTCAGGAGCCCAAACTCTAAACCACAGTACCATGCTAGTCCTCATTACATAAAGTGTTTGATTTCTGAAGTCCAGGAATGGGCCCAAGGAAACTACATGTTAAACTCTCCTATTTATATTTTTATTTGTCTTGTTAACAACTATGAAATATAAAGCATAACTATAGTCCTACTGACCACATCGTGGAGAATGTCATAAAAATGGTTTACATAATTTTATTTCCTCCTTTGTATTCTGAAATGAAATTTACTTCATTAGTGCTGACTTTCATTATGAAAATGAAATTTACCACAAAGGGAGACCTGTGGACCTTTGTACTTCCCATATCTAGTAAATTGCCTCCTTCCAGGATCATTACTTTCCTTTTTATCTTGTTTCCCCAACAGCCACATCCTTTTGTTTTGTCTTGATTACTCCACTTCACAATTATTCTTTCAAACAGCAAGTTTTATAACATGATTTCTTCTTTAATTTTATATTATGGAAAAATTTAAATATCTACAAAATTTGTTTATTTTTATTTATTTATTTTTTATTGAAGCATAATCGATTATACATATTTTTGGGTTACAGTGTTGACTGTAATGTCTACGAAAAAAAAATTTTTTTTTTTTAAAGATGACCGATAAGGGGATCTTAACCCTTGACTTGGTGTTGTCAGCGCCATGCTCTCCCAAGTGAGCTAACCAGCCATCCCTATACAGGGATCCGAACCTGTGGCCTTGGTGTTATCAGCACCACACTCTCCCAAGTGAGCCATCGGCCAGCCCCAATATCTACAAAATTTAAAGATAGAATAATGAACTTCCATGTACCCATCACCCAGCTTCGGTGATTATCAGTTCACACTGGTCTTGTTACATCCCTATACCCACTCACTTTTCTGCTGCCTATTTATTAAAATCATTTCATCTATAAGCATTGCAGACCATTTCTATAAAAATTTGAGTAAGGGGTTTTAAAGCACAGCATTTCTGAACAATCCAGTACACGGATTTTCCTTAAATGCTTTGTAAATGTCATCATTCATACAAGTCTTCACATGTACTTGCATCCTTCTTAATTTTGTAATGCTTCACAACTTTTCCAGCAGGGGTTACTTGAAGGTTAGAGAGATTTAAGTATTCAAAGGAGCTTTTATCATTGTAACCCAGAGCAATCCATCTCCCCACAACCCCTTTTTAAAAATCTCTTTGGTGGATCTAGATGCAAAGCAAAAGATGCGACAGGCCTGGAAATCCTGGTTGATCTACGTGGTTGTTCGTAGGACCAAACTTCAGATGCAGACCACCGCTCTGGAGTTTAGGCAGCAAAGTATTTTATGGTGAGTGCACCCTATTGCCCTACAGATCAGCAGCTATCATTTTACCTCAGCAGCTTTACGCTGTTTTTTTTTTTTTTTCCTTTTTGTCTTTTTTCGTGACCGGTAACAGGATCGCAACCCTCAGTGTCGCACCTGTACTGCGACCGGCAACGGGATCGCAACCCTCAGTGTCGCGCCCGCACCGTGCTCAACCAGTGAGCAGACCGGTCTCTATATGGGATCCGAACCCTCGGCGGGAGCACCGCCACACTCCCAAGTGCCACACTCTACCGAGTGCGCCACCGGGCCGGCCCAGCTTTACGATGTTTTAACCCACCTTAAACCAATGTTTTGAACATAGTTGATGCCTAATAAATATTTATTAGTAACTTGTTCCACTATAAGATCAGGTTTTCATGTAATCATAATTAACACTAATGGAATACAGTCAGCCCTCCATTTCCATCAGTTCCACATCTGTGGATTCAACCAACTGCAGATCAAAAATACTTGGGGAAAAAAGATGCACCTGCACTGAACATGTATAGACTTTTGCTTGTCATTATTCCCTAAACAATACAGTATAACAGCTATTTACATAGTATTTACATCGTATTAGGTTTTATAAGTAATCTAGAGATGACTTAAAGTATAAGGGAGGATGCAAATAGGTTATATCAATCCAAAGTCAGAAGGAGACAAGCATTGGGAAAATGTATCCCATCTGCTCAGGGAGAGAAATGGTAGAAATTTTTTTTTTTTTTCATCTTTTTTTTTTTTTTTTTTTTTTTTTTTTTTTTTTTTTATCTTCAGGAGGTCCTGGAACCAATCCCCTGCACTTACTACCCTGTGTTAAGTTTGTATATGTTAATTTTTTTAATGTAAAGTATCGTATTTAATCCTCACCATAAACTATAAAAAACACTACCATTTTTGTGTAAGATGTACAATAAAGTTCAGAAAGGTTGAGGAACTTGCCTGATCTCATACAAGTTGTAATTGGCAAAATTAAGGCTGACCACCCATGCTCTTAACTGCTCCTCTGCACTGCATCCCATCAGCATTGTGGACACATTGGAGGGACAGGAGTTAGTCCACTTTTAAAATCAGACGTGTAACAGTGAGCTGCTTTAAAATCGGACTGATTCCCGTGTACATTGTCTCAAGTGTTCCTTTGGTGTCCTGACTGATAGTATATATTAAAAGCTCAGTTCCTGCCTGAAAGAGCTGGGTACTGAATATAGTATGGATATGAGCAGAGGTTTTGCAGCTGCACTGACCTGGGTTTAAAACCCTTTTCCAACCTGTATTATTGATTTATTTCACCTCTCCAAGTCTCACTTTCTTCATCTGCAAAATAAGCACATCAAGTATCTTTCAGAGTTGTCATTGGGAAGAAATAAGGTAATATCTGTAAAATATTTAACAGTGCCCAGAACATCAGTAGACATAAAGAAGTTATTTAAATAAAAATAAAATAAAGTTATTTAAAATATATTCAAGTATTTTTAAACGCTTAATTTGTGTGCAATTCTACTTGAGTCTATGGGGGATATTTTTATATAATCAATTCATTTAGTCAGTGTCTATTCATTGAGGGATTAAAATGTCCTTGGTACTGTATTTGTGCTGGGGACATATTCGGGGAACTTGTAATTCCCTAAGTGATTAAAAAGAGAGGTAATCATGCAAGATAGCATGAGATATAGAAGTAAGTGATACAGGTAAGCATGGTCCAGTTTAGGAGGAAAGAGAGATCTCTCTAGGTTAGAGTTGACCAAGCAAAGTGCTTCTGTAAAGCAGAGGTTGCAAACTCTTATTTCCTCATGACTGTTTTTCTACAGCAAATTAGAAAATAAGTGGGAAAAAAACTTAGATTGAAATGAAAACCTGGCCAGGATAGAAGGAAGGGAAGGGATCCAGCAACACTGGAAATCTAAAAGCCACTTTTTTGCAGATTATCCTGTGAAATCTTCTGTTTTTTTTTTTTTTTTTTGTCTTTTTTCGTGACCGGTAAGGGGATTGCAACCCTTGGCTTGGCGTCGCCCGTACCACGCTCAGCCAGTGAGCGCACCGGCCATCCTTATATAGGATTCGAACCTGCGGCGGGACTGCCGCTGCGCTCCCAAGTGCTGCACTCTCCCAAGTGCGCCATGGGGCCGGCCCGAAATCTTCTGATTTTTAAATGTTGGCAATAAATCATATGAGACAAACTGTAGTCAGACAGAGTATGTCCATAGTGTCTAAGCTGGATCTGACCTTAGGAAACATTAGTTTCCAACTCTTAATTGGCAGCTCTCGATTGTGTGTGTGTGTGTGTGTTTCAGCAGCGGATCTAGAGATGGCACTGTGAGGGAAAGGGACTTGAGCTGAGGGTCTGAGGCCTAGCATTAACTGCCTTTGTCCTTTCTTGGTGACTTTTTTTGTGACGGGTTCCATCTTCGATTTTCTCTATCAGGATATGGTGGAGCAAGTGGAGGTGGCGACTAGGACAGGTCCGTGCAGGCCATGCCCTCCATGCCTCAGCCGTGAAGCACAGGGCCCTGAGCCTCCAGATGCAGGTGAGACCAGCAGATTCAGGTTTTGGGGTCCTCTGAACATGTTGTCAAGCTCTACACCCACAGAGGGCAGAGTCAGACTCCCAGCAGGAAGCCATCATGCTGCTACAGGGCTCTTCAACAGACAGAGGCTGCTATTAAGAATAATGCAGAGGCTTGTTCTAGATGTGATTAGAGGTATCTAGAGAATTTCTGGTAAATGTGGAGCTGGAAAGGGATTTATGAATTAGTTAAAAACATGTTTAAAGAAACAGTAGTATACTTTTATTTCCTCTTTACTGTTTTCCTACAGCAAATCAGAAAATAATGAGGGCACAAAAGAAACTAAGATCAAAAAGAAAACATGGCTTCTTTGTCCTTATAGTTTTGCTTATCTCAGAAGTTTCTGTTAGGGAGGTTTTGGTCAGTTATAAAGGCCTAAGGCCTGTATCAAAACTATGGTGCAGTGAAACTTTCTTATGACTTTTGATATACTTTATGAATTTCTGTCACTTTTTTGTGTCTGCTGAATACTTATAGGACTGCTAAGTCAGTTATAGAAAATAGAAGAGGGAAGAGGAAAAAGAAGTGCCTGTTACTAAATGTAGAAATAGTATCTTTTTTGGGCTGGCCTGGTGGCGCACTTGGTAGAGTGCGGCGCTTAGGAGTGCGGCGGTGCTCCCGCCGAGGGTTCGGATCCCATATAGAGACCGGTCCACTCACTGGTTGAGCGCGGTGCGGGCGCGACACCGAGGGTTGCGATCCCGTTGCCGGCCGCGGTATGGGCGCAACACCAGAGGTTGCGATCCCGTTACCGGTCACGAAAAAAGACAAAAAGGAGGAAGAAAAAAAAAAAAGAAATAGTATCTTTTTAATCTGACAACAAATTGCACAGTCCATGCAAGTACATGCAGATCACATGCAAATAGTATATTACAGTCATCTGGATCAGGGATCAGCAAACTCTGTCCTGTAAGTCAGATTTGGCCTGCTTTCTGTTTTTGTAAATAATGTTTTATTGGGATGCTTCTTCACCCATACATTTATGTATTGTCTATGGCTGCTTTCAGGCTACAAGGGCTGAACTACTTGAGTAGCTACAACAGAGACTGTATGGCCTGCAAAGACTAAAATATTTGTTATCTGACCCTTTAAAAAAAAGTTTTCTGACCTCTGAACTTATAAGTTCTTCTGAGCCATAGCAAGGAAATAAGAGATACAGTTCTTGCCAATAATAGTAACAGTAACAACAGCAGCAGCAGTAACAGCAATAACTTTTATATTGCACTGGACTAAGTGTGTTCCATGCATTATCTCATTTAATTTTTATATTTTTTAAGCCCATATTATGGTTGGGGAAAATAGGAGGATTAAATAATTTGAACCAGGGTCTTATGTGTAGCAAAGGTCAGAGCCAGGATTTAACCCAAGCAGCCTGAAAACTGCAAAGCCATTCTCTTAACCACCATGCTGTATTATCATTAATAGACTTGTAACCTCTGGAGGGAAATGGAACTGACAAATGGGAAAATGCTGTAAGCATAGGATGATAATGAGACTGATTTTCTGTCCTTGATGGACAACTCTATGAATGTTCTTCCCTTTCAAATAGCCACTTTGAGAGGGTATAAACTCATTCTACTGATGTTATTGTTGCTCAGCACATTTTTAAAATTCTTTTTTTACAATTATCTTCAAAGCTTGCAACAACGGATTTGATTGAATATTTTTAGTGATAACAGGTTTGCATGGTTTGAGGTTGGATTTAACTTATAAAAACAGCCAAAAGTCATTCAGAGTCAAATCCAGTGAAAAATGTGAGTAATCAAGATAATATTTATACAGAGGATAAACTATATGAGGTTCTAAGTAAAACCTGGACTTTATTGTGTAGATTATAAGTAACGTAATAATGCCTTGTGTGTGATTAAGTACCACAAGGTTTACTAAGAACTTACACTTAATCATTTCTCTTAATCCTCACAACATCTGTATGAACTAGGCAGGGTAGACATTATGAGTTTTGTGAAATTAAAAAAATTAAATTTATGTATTTCAAACCTAGAAACATAAAATATAAATCATTTATAAAATATTAACAGATATCAAAGTATCCACTACCCAGGTGTTAGCATTTTCTATACATGCTCCAGAATTTTTTTTTTTGTCTTTTTCCGTGTCCGGCAACAGATCGCAACCCTCAGTGTCGCCCCCGCACCGGACCGGGACCAGCAACGGGATCGCAACCCTCGGCGCTGCTCCCGCGCCTCGCTCAGCCAGTGAGCGGGAACCGGTCTGTATGTGGGATCCGAACCCTCGGGCGGGAGCGCCTCCGCGCTTCCCAAGCGGCGCACTATCCAGTGCGCCACCGGGCCGGCCCTCCAGAATTTTTTAAAATAATAAAATGTAGTGGATACTGCGAAAACCTTACCCTTCTACCCTTCTGCTGCCTTTCCTCCTCAGAGATAGCCACTATTCCAATCCTGATGTGATCGTGCTCTTGTATTCTTTTTTTCTTGGAAAAATTTGTACATATACCCTACCCATGAAGAATAAATGTTATGGCTTTGTGTAGTTAGGACATTTATGAATGGTGTCATACTGTCCATTTATTTCACAGCTTGATTTTTTTATACATTTTCTTTTTTTTTTTTTTTTTGTGGCTGGCCAGTACAGGGATCCAAACCCTTGACCTTGGTGTTATCAGTACCACGCTCTATTGAGTGAGCTAACCAGCCAGGCTATGCAACAAATTTTTGAGGTTTATCCATGTGGAAATCTATTAATTGTATATATTATACCACTATGAATAAGGCACAGTTTATCTGGTCGCCTACTGGTAGACTGTTGATTACTTCTAGTCTTCGCAGTTACAAACAGTGCTGCAGAGAGCATTCTCAAACATATATCCTTGGGCTAATGTCTGAGTGTTTTCTCTAATCTGGTTCCAAGAAGTGAAATTGCTGGGTCATTGGATTTTCATCTCTTCATCTTTATTGAGCGTCACCCAATTGCTCTCTAGTGCTGTGCCAGTTTACTTGCTAATGTTTCAGTTCTGATTTCTTTCAGACTCATTAGCACTTTGCATTGCCAGGGTTGGTCATTTTTACCAATTTGATGGGTGTGAAATGGTAACTTATTGTTGCATTGATTTATATTTCACTGATTCCTAGTGAGGCTGAGCATATTTTCATATACTTATTTGCCATTTGGCTTGTTTACATTCCCTCACTCGTGTTTTTCTGTTGGGTTATTTGGCTTTTTCTTATGATTTATAGATGTTGTTGATTCTGCTAACTAATACTTTGTTATATAGGTAGCATGTACTTTTCAGTTTGTTGCTTTTTTTTTTTTTTTTTTTGCTTTGTTTATGATTCTTTTCTACATATAGGAGTTACTAATTTCAATGTAGCCTAATTTATGCTCTTATCTTATGGTTTGGTCTAAAATACATCTCAGCACAGCCTTGTATTTATGCTCTTATCTTATGGTTTGGTCTAAAATACATCTCAGCACAGCCTTGTGACCCCAGGTTCATGGGTTCAGACCCCCAAACCAGCCAGCTGCCAAAAAAAAAAAAAACAAAACAAAACCCAAAAACCAAAATAAAATACATCTTGGGTTTAATTTTATAAATTGTATGAAACAGGATTTTAGTTTATCGTTTTCCATATAGATAGTTAATTGCTTCAGCACTATTAACTGATTAGTCCATCTTTTCATCTTTTTTTTTTTTTTTTTTTTTTTTTTTTTTTTTTTT